GTCAATTATACGAACGTCAATTAACAATTTCTCTATTATTGACAAATTAGCATTGAGCGATCGAAATTTTTATAGCGCGCGCGTAAGCGATTAATATTTAAGGTCGTTAGGAAGTACTGATTGTTCGCGAGCTTCGTCACGTATAATCATGGCTCCTCCCACCAACGAGGAATTGCAGGAGCAAGTGATGCAACTGCAAGCGATGCTTCAGCAGATGCAGGGCAAGGTGGCAGGCAATGTCGCGCGCGTGGATTCATATAGAGTTCCGAAAATTCCGCCGTTCTTAATTAAAGATCCGGTGATATGGTTCATTCAAGTCGAGGCCACTTTCGAGACCGCTCGAATCACAGAGCAAAAGATTAAGGCGCATCACGTGATTATGTCTCTGGACGCAGAAGTCATCGCGTGCTGCAGAGATCTCATCACGGAGCCCGACGTGAATGAACCATACACCAAATTAAAACAGCGTATCATTGAAAATTTTTTAGCGTCAGCAGAAAGTCAACTGCGACAATTAATAAAAGGCCAAGTGCTTACGTCAGGTAAACCGTCGCAGATTCTCAGTCGACTTCGTAACTTGAACTCTGACAAACGATGTGATGACGCTGTAATAAAAACTGTGTTCTTTGAACATTTATCACCGCACATTAGAAGCATTCTTGCAACTACCGAAAGCACGGATCTGGATAAATTAGCCAAAATGGCGGATAAAATAGTTGAGACCGTGGGTGATTCTGCGCAGTGTGCCGCCGTATCGTCGTCAGAGTCTAAACCGTCCGACTTAGAAGCTAGGATCGACGGTCTGGCCGCTGATATTGCTACCCTCGCGGCTGAGGTCAAGCGATACAGCAGATCTCAGACGAGAGACAAAGCAAATAAAAATCGTAAGCAAAAGCAGAAACTCTCGTGTCTGCTGGCCGCATCGTACTTTTGGAAAACAAGCGCGAGTCTGTAAGGGAACTGAAAAATTCCCGTGCCCTTGGCCAAAGCCCAAGATTTTAACGGACGAAAAGGCGGGAGAAATCGTCTGCCACCGAGGAGGCAGGTATGGCGGGCGTCGATTCTTCTGTCCGTCTCCACATCCGCGATGGAGTCACCGGAGAGTTATTCCTTGTAGATACGAGGGCGGAAATTTCGCTGCTTCCCAGCACTTACGCGAAAAACAAAACTCCGACCAATTTCAAACTTTACGCGGCAAACAATACACGTGTATAGATACATATGGGGAGTCGTTCCGAACGCTACATTTAGGGATACGCCCGAATGGGGAACACATGGAATTTCTGCGTAGCATCAATTCCGTACCCGATTATTGGGGCCGACCTGATTGCACATTA